CAATCTCACCATGTTCATCACATACAACATTAAATTTCAGAGTAACACACAACCACAACATACTCATATGAAAATAACACAATCAAACCCTTAACCATTTAGAATCCAAACTATCATCAAAACCCTAACCCAAAGGAGATTAGTTCATAATTAATTCAATAACACAAAAACGAAAATAGGAAATAGACATGTTCAACATAATGAAAATGAGAATAAAGATTAGAAATCTCCCCAAAAGATAAATCCTCTAGTTGGAAATCAAATCTTCTTCCTTTTACAACCCAAATTTGCTCAAAGTTCTCCAAAAAAAATGTAAAAGTGGCTAAACCTAAAACAAAACGAAGATCCTGGGCAAAAAGACTAAGTTTTTCTTTTATACTTCGTCTGAATAACCCAGCCCAAACACGCACAGCACGAAACTTTGCGTTTAACAAAACTGGAATAAGTGACTGTCGCCGCGACGAAGAATGAATCAGATAAGTTCGTCTCTGGCCTACTTCGCCGCGGCGAAGACATTTTCTTCGTCGGGGCAAAGCTTCTTCCTGAGTTCTGAAATTACAGAACTACGACTCCGCTTGTTTCTTCGTTTGATTCTTCGATTCTCGATGCTCTTCCATGGAAACAAGCTTCATCGTGCTTTATCCTGCTCCGGAACTCTCCTATCTTCTGAGATCCGCTAAATTATGAGTCAAAAATATCCAATTTTGTTCTTATTTGCTCAAAATGACCATTTTAACCTGAAATACGAAAAGTTACGAATTAAGGAACAATTCAGGTCAAAATGCACTAGAAAGTACCTGAAATCCGACAAAAATGTATAATGAAAAGTGTATAATTTACGGATTATCATTTGGCGATGGGTTTTTTTAAGGATCTTCTTGCTGCCCCTACTCAACCTCAGATCGCAAAGGCTTTTAGGTATTTTTCTGGGCACATTTCTCCTGATATGATTTCTCCCTTGACTGCCCCTATCACTGATGATGAGATTATGATTGCTTTATTCTCTATCCCAAATGATAAAGCCTCTGGTTTGGATGGATACACTTCTTTGTTTTTTAAGCGGGCATGGGATATTATTAGTTCAATTTCAGAGACGTAGTGAGACAATTTTTTGCTACTAATGAAATGCCAAGATGTGTTAATGCTACCAGGATTGCTTTGGTTCTTAAGGTGGGGGGCCCGAGTCGTATGACGAACTTTAGACCGATATCTTGTTGTAATGTACTTTACAAGTGCATTTATAAGGTGATAGTGAATCGATTTAAAGTAGTGCTTCCAGATGTTATTGGGAGTTCCTAGTCGGCTTTTGCCCTGGTCGAAGGATTCCTTATAATATTTTCCTGACTCAGGAGCTTTTGCGGAATTATCATCTTGGGGGTACTTCACCTCGATGTGCCCTTAAAGTTGATATTCGAAAAGCTTTTGATACTATGAGTTGGGTTTTCATCCTTTTGGGACTGCGTACTATGGGGTTTCCTGAGCGCATGGTGAGGTGGATCATGACATGTATCTCTACGCTGTATTTCTCTGTTGCCCTAAACGGACAGCTTCACGATTTTTTTAGGTCCTCCCGGGGTGTTAGGCAAGGGGACCCTTTTTCTCCTTACCTATTTGTGTTGGCTATAGAGGGGTTAGCTGGTATCTTTCGGAAAACCTCTCATAGCCTTGGTTTTCATTATCATTGGAGGCGTAGGCAGGCAGCTATTACTCATTTGTGTTCTGCAAATGATTTGATAGTATTTTGCGGATTATTATGCCAAGGTTTTTGGGTTGGTGACTAATGCAGAGAAGAGTCAGTTGTTTCTTTCTGGGGTTACAGATGAGGAGCAGATTGGGTTATAATCTATCATGGGTTTCCAGTTGGGCAAGTTACCGGTCAGATATCTAGGGGTTCCTTTGATCTCTACCCGGCTTCGATATTCTAATTGTAGGCCTCAGTTAGAGTGAATTTTGTCTCGGATTAGGCTATGGACATTGACATCTTTGACCTATGCAGGCCAACTACAGTTGATCAAGTCGGTGCTATTCTCCATACAGGTATATTGGTCATCCATGTTTCTTTTGCCAGCAGCTATAGTTAGACAGATTGAGAGTATTTTGGCATCATTTCTTTGGAGAGGTGCTTCTTTGTCCCCTTCTGGTGCCAAGGTTCCATGGTCTTCTATTTGCTATCCATTGAGAGAGGGTGGGCTGGGGATTAAGAGGATCCAAGATTGGAATAGAGCGGCTATTCTTAAACACGTGTGGAGACTACTTAATGATAGGTCTTCTGTATGGTCCTCTTGGGCCCCTTTTGTTCTCCTCCGTGGTCAGTCATCTTGGCATATTCGAGTTACATCTAGGGCTTCATGGGCCTGGAGGAAGATTTTACTTAGCAGGGTTTGATGTTGGGGTCGTATTGTGACTTGTATCGATGATGGTAGGGACACCATGTTATGGTGAGATTACTGGCTGCTGTAGGGACCTTTGTGTGACTTACTCCCTTTTAGAACTTTGACTTCCACTGGTTTTCCATAGGATGCTCGGGTTTCAGACATTATTCGAGATGGTTTGTGGGATTTTCCTTCGGGTAGTGCCGACCTTCAGCATATATGGGACTCCATTACAGTGCAGCCTTCAGCGAGTCTTCCTGACCATCTTGTGTGGAAGGGCCACCCGTCTGGGCGTTTCTCTATTGATTCAGCCTGGAATGTGTTACGAGACAAACGGGATGTGAACTCAATTCATCATCTCTTACGGTTTCCAAGGCATATTCCTTGTCACTCTTTCATTCTCTGGCTCGCTTCTCTTGGTCAGCTTCACACCATGGATCGGCTCAGCTCTCATGGTGTCATTATGTCCTCCCTATGTGTTTTGTGCAGTTTAGCTACAGAGACCTATGACCATTTGTTTTTCAGCTGTGGCTTCTCAAGTTATGCTTGGCGGGAGGTCACTACTAGGACACTCACTAAATGGCCTACTCTCTTTTGGCTCTCTCTACTCTAGTGGGCTAGCTTGCATCTTAGATGCAAAGGTGACTTCAAACACCTTCTTTCCCGGTTGGTCCTCTCAGTCACTGTTTATTTCCTATGGTTTGAACGAAATAATAGAGTGTTTCGTTAGCATGGTAGCTCTTGCAAAGATACTGTTTTAGCTATTTGTGATCTAGTCCAAGCCAGGATTTTGGGTTTAGCACCTAAGTATGAGATCTCGACCTAGCTCCGTGTGATATGGCATCTTCCTGTTTAGCTTTGCAAGAAGCCTGCGTGCTTTTTTATGCTGGTTTGTGGCTTTGCGATTTATGGCATTTCCTGTTTTGTTTTTGGGGAGCCTGCGTACTCTTTTTACGCCGTTTGTGGCTTTGTGGTTTTTCCTATGTGTTTTTTTTTTTTTACTAAGAATTATCAATCATCCTCTTGGGGTATGCCCCTCGCTTTTGTACATTTTTTGTCTCTTCTATAAAATACTTAACTTTTCCAAATTAAAAAAAAAAAAGTTTAGGGTTTAGGGTTTTAGGGTTTAGGGTTAGGGGTTTGGGGTTTAGGGTTTAGGGTTAGGGGTTTGGGGTTTGGGGTTTAGGGTTTAGGGGTTTAGGGTTTAGGGTTTAGGGGTTTAGGGTTTGGGGTTTAGGGTTTGGGGTTTGGGGTTTGGGGTTTAGGGTTTGGGGTTTGGGGTTTAGGGTTTGGGGTTTGGGGATTAGGGTTTAGGGTTTAGGGTTTAGGGGTTTCGGGTTTCGGGTTTAGGGTTTAGGGGTTTAGGATTTTAGGGTTAAGGGTTTAGGGTTTAGGTTTTAGGGTTTAGGGTTTAGGGTTTAGAGGGTTAGGGAGGTTTTGGGTTTTGGGGGTTTTGGGTTTTGGGTTTAGGGTTCAAGGTTCAAGGTTCAGGGTTTAGGGTTTACGGTTTAGGGGTTAGGGAGGGTATAGGGTTTAGGGAGGAAGGGAAAACTGGAATTTTCTTAAGTGGTTTTGCTCTCAACTCGTGGTTATCGCCGAAACTTTGCCATCTTCCTCCGGGCGCATCTGGCACTAGAATCTGGCGATCTAATCGTCGCTGGAAAGCTTGTTCAATGCGCTTTCTTGTCGTTTCATCACTGCCTCTTTTAGGGGTTTTGGTCGTCGGGATTTGGCCGTTGAAATTGACAGAGACTGTAAATCTGGAGTTTCTTTTATAGTGGGTTTTTCATTCGGGAATTGCAATGGAGTGCCAACACTGACTCTTCTGGGCAGGATCGACAATCCCCACATCTGTTTGCACCTATTTGACCTTTGGTTCCCGAAAAAACTCACTGTTTTTTCCTAGGAACGTGCTGTTTGGTTTGGGTTTTTTATGCCCATTTCATGGACCTGTTTTGGTGTGTTTTTGTTGTGATTTTCTACAGTTTTTTTTGTGGTTTCTTGCTGGGTTTTGATTTTGCAGATTCCTGGAAAACTTGGTTGTATTTGGTTGGGTTTTGGATGCGTTTATCGTGCACATAAAGTGTTCAATAAAAATCTGTAGGCCTTGCGCATGCGCGCGCGTGCCCCACAATGCCCAGCACTTAGGGCCCAGCCAGCCTAGCGCCTAGCGCCCAGCCTTCCCCTCTTTGGCCCTTCAGACCACCTTCCCCTTTCCAACACCAAAACCTCTTCACCCCTAGCATTTTTTCACAAATCCCTGCTGTTTTAAACTTTAAACTCACCAAAATCACACATTTTTTTTCCTGCCACCAAGTGTTTGACAAAATGTCCGAACCAAACTCCTCACTCCTAAATAACACCGTGTCGCCGCCAACCCAAGCCAAAACATTAAACACTGACTCCATCAGCTCCGAACAGCCACAAACTTTCGGGAATTCAAGGAAATCTTTATGGATTGGTGATTTGGAGCCATGGATGGATGACAAGTATTTGTTATCTGTTTTCTCAAATATGGCGATTCAAGGAGCCAAGGTTTTTCATCACAAAAACTCTTCCTTTGGTTTTCTTGAGTTTGAATATAATGATATTGCTGGTTTGTCATTGCAATCTTTTAATGGCTTAAAAATGCCGAAGTCTACGAAGCTTTTCAAGCTTAATTGGGCGTCTTCTGAGCCCCATGAAAAAAAGCCAGTCCCTAAGCCAGTTGTAGAGAAGAAAAGTATGGGTAAGAGCACCTCAGGAGTGTCCTCCTCTTGGGCGGATAAGGTTAGAGTGATAGAGGTCGGGTCCCATTTCACCCTTGAAACTGTGGACCTTGATATTAAGGATGACATCTTACTTATACCGGATGATGTTATTGATGACAATGATGTTGAATGGCTTCGCTATATTGTGGGTTATTTCCCGGGGTACTCTATGCCTTTTCATGTTGTTCGCTCAATTGCTTTCCGTGCATGCGAAGCAGCGGGGTTGGAAGATGTTATGTCCATAGGTACTGGTTTCTACATTTTTAGATTTAGGGATGAAGATGCGGTGTATTCAATCCTTGAGAGAGGGTCATGGATGTTTGGGGGAAACTCTATAATTTTGTAACAATGGCATGCTCAGTTTACTTTTGATAAAAGTCGCATCTCTAAGGTTCCAGTATGGGCTCATTTGCATGGTTTGCCTTATCCTTTGTGGTCCCACAAAGGAGTCTGCATGGTTTTTTCTATGTTGGGTGGACCATTGTCTAGTGATAAGACAACATCAGAGCGGACCCGTTTGGATTATGCTCGAGTATGTGTTGCGCTAGATGCAGCAAAGCCTCTAAGACGTCATTTTGAATTTCAATGCCGGTTATCTGCGGAACCCATTCAGATTACAGTGGAATATGAGTGGACCCTCAAGAGGTGCCCTAAGTGCTGTGTTTTTGGTCATGTTTGTCACCAACCAGAGGTACCTACTGTGGCTATAGCTCAAGGTAAGAATACGATAGTTACTAGTTTCTAGAAGGCACCAGGGAAAGCTGTTGCAGGGCAATCTAAGAACTGCGAGCCTTTGAGGCAGTCAGCCACTATTGATCCCATTAGGGAGAGAGAAAGGGATGTTTCAATGCCATCTGCAGTTTCAGTTTCAGTTTCGAGTACAGTTAGAGTTGGGGATGCTTCTTTGGCTCTGGTCCCGTATCAGCAGACTGTTCGTGCTAGCAGAGGTGAATTTTCTGGCTTTGAATCAGGGTCGGAATCTGATTCACCTTTTCCTATTGAGGATGAGCAGGACTGTATTATAGGATTCGCAAATTGCACAGAAAACACTCAGTCCTTTATGAGTTCTGGGAGTAGGCAATCTACTTCCTCCAACAGGTTTGCCTCACTTGTTCTGCATAGTGATGATCTCAGACACCAGATGCCACCTTATCTGGATCAGTTTCCTTGCCACCCCTGGCAAAGGGGATAGGTTGAGGAAAGCGGGGGTTTCGGCTCAAGTGATTTTAGCTTGTTTTTATCCCAATTCCAATGATAGGGAGTTGGAATATTAGAGGCCTTAATGGCTTCTCGAAACAACGCGCAATGTGGAATTGGATTTCTGACTCTTCTTTGGGTTTGATTGGTTTGTTGGAGACTAAGGTTAAGCAGTCTCATTTACAGTCGGTGGCTTCTTTAGTTTGTCCTTCGTGGCAGTTTTTGTCTAATGCGACATATTCTATTGCTTGCCGTGTTCTTGTATGTTGGGACTCTTCTCTTTACTCTGTAAATAGTCTTCATTGCTCTCTTCAGGAGATTACTTGCAGGGTTACTCATGTTTCTAAGGGGTTCTCATTTAGGATTACTTTTGTGTATGGTTCTAATGACCTTAGGAATCGTCGCAATCTGTGGGATTTCCTTAGGGATCAGTCGGCAGTGTTTGATTCAGAGGGGCTCCCGTGGCTTGTGTTTGGTGAGTTTAATACCATCTTGGGAGCCTTTGATAGAGTGGGTGGTGATCCTGCATTGTATGGTTATATGGATGATTTTCGCCAATGTATCCATGATGCTGAGTTGATTGGGGTTCCCTTTACTAGGCTTCGGTATACTTGGCATAATGGTCAACAGGGCGATGGGATTATTTTATGGAAGCTTGATTGGGTCTTTGCATCACTTTCTTGGTTCCTTGATCGACCGAACATAGTTTCAGAGTTTTGACCTCGGGATGCTTTAGATCATAACTCTATTGTTGTTCGGTTTGGTCCCCGCCATGGCAAGGTACCATCTGCTTTTAAATTTCTAAATTTTTGGGCTGATCATGCAAATTTTAGGGATATTGTTCAGGCAGTTTAGGATGAGCCTATTGTAGGCAATCCTATGTTCCGTCTTACGCAAAAATTGGGGTTAGTGAAACGGAAGCTCAAATCTTTACATATTAGGGTTTCCAGTCATATCTCCAGCAGGGTAATTGAGGCTTGGGCTTAGTGGGCAACAGCTCAAGGAAACTTGGATCGGGACCTCTTTTCTACTGAGTGTATCTCTGAGAAGAAGAACCTTGCCAACCAGTATGTCAGTCTTTGTCGAGATGAAAAGGCTTTCTTTAAGCAGCGGTCTCATGTTTAGTGGCTGAACTTAGGGGATCAAAATACTAAGTTCTTCCATAAGTCGTTGATCCATAGGCAGGTTCGAAACCGTATCCACAGTTTGACTGATGGGAATTGTACCCATGTTACTGACAGTCAGGGTTTAGGGCGTCTGGCGGTGGGTTTTTTTCAACATCTTCTTGCTGCCCCTAGTCAACCTCAGATTGCAGAGGCTTCCAGGTATTTTTTGGACGCATTTCTCCTGATATGATTTCTCCCTTGACTGCTCCTATCACTGATGATGAGATTATGATTGCTTTATTCTCTATCCTAGATGATAAAGCGTCGGGCCCGGATGGATTCACATCTTTGTTTTTTAAGCGGGCATGGGATATTATTAGAACAGATTTCAGAGATGCAGTGAGACATTTTTTTGCTACTAATGAAATGCCAAGATGTGTTAATGCCACCAAGATTGCTTTGGTTCCTAAGGTGGAGAGCCCGAGTCGTATGACGAACTTTAGACCGATATCTTGTTGTAATGTACTTTACAAGTGCATTTCTAAGGTGATTGTGAATCGGTTTAAAGTATTGCTTCCGGATATTATTGGGGTTTTCCAGTCAGCTTTTGTCCCGGGTCAAAGGATTTCTGATAATATTCTGCTGACTCAGGAGCTTTTGCGGAATTATCATCTTAGGGGTACTTCACCTCTATGTGCCTTTAAAGTTGATATTCAGAAAGCTTTTGATACTATGAGTTGGGATTTCATCCTTTTGGGATTACATACCGTGGGTTTTCCTAAGCGTATGGTGGGGTTGATTATGACATATATCTCTACACCGTATTTCTCTGTTGCCCTAAACGGAGAGCTTCACGATTTTTTTAGGTCCTCCCAGGATGTTCGGTAGGGGGACCCTTTTCTCCTTACCTTTTTGTGTTGGTTATGAAGGGGTTAACTAGTATTTTTCGAGAAACCTCTCACAGCCCTGGTTTTCATTATCATTGGAGAGGTAGGCGGGCAACTATTACTCATTTGTGTTTCGCGGATGCTTTGGTGGTGTTTTGTGGATAATTTGATGGCGTTTTGTAGAGCAGATGCTTCCTCTGTTAGCTTGATCAAATCGGCCTTGGATTATTTTGCTAAGGTTTCTGGATTAGTGACTAATGCAGAGAAGAGCCAATTGTTTCTTTTTAGAGTTACAGATGAGGAGCAGATTGGGTTACAGTCTATCATGGGTTTCCAGTTGGGCCAGTTACCTGTAAGATATCTAGGGGTTCCTCTAATCTCTACCCGCCTTGGACATTCTGATTATAGGCCTCTGTTAGAGCGAATTCTCTCTCCGATTAGGCTATGGACATTAGCATCTTTGACCTATGTAGGCCGACTACAGTTGATAAAGTCAGTACTTTTCTCCATACAGGTTTATTGGTCGTCCATGTTTCTTTTGCTAGCAGCTACAGTTAGATGGATTTATAGTATTTTGGCCTCGTTTCTTTGGAAGGGTACTTCTTTGTCCCCTTCTGCTGCCAAGGTTGCATGGTCTTCTATTTGCTATCTATTGACAGAGGGTGGCCTAGGGATTAAGAGGATCCAAGATTGGAATAGGGTGGCTATTCTTAAACATGTTTGGAGACTACTTACTGATAGATCTTCTATATGGTCTTCTTGGGCCCGTTCAGTTCTCCTCCGTGGTCGGTCCTTTTGGCATATCTGAGTTACTTCTGGGGCTTCATGGGCTTGGAGGAAGATTTTACTTAGCAGGGTTTGGTGTCGGGGTCTTATTGTGACTTGCATTGGAGATGGTAGGGACACCATGTTATGGCGAGATCATTGGCTTCCGCAAGGTCCTCTGTGTGACTTGTTCCCTTTTAGAACCTTGACTTCCACTGGTTTGCCATGGGATGCTCGGGTTTCAGACATTATTCGGGATGGTTTGTGGGACTTTCCTTTGAGCAGTGTAGACCTTCAACATATCTGGGGCTCTATTACAATGCAGCCTTCAGCGAGTCATCCTGACCATCTTGCATGGAAGGGCCATCCATCTGGACATTTCTCTATTGATTCAGCCTGCAACAGGATGTGAACTCGATTCATCATCTCTTGTGGTTTCTAGGGCATATTCCACGCCACTCTTTCATTCTCTGGCTCACTTCTCTTGGTCGGCTTCACACCATGGATCGGCTCAACTCTCATGGTGTCATTATGTCCTCCCTGTGTGTTTTGTGCAGATCAGCTACAGAGACCCATGACCATTTGTTTTTCAGCTGTGACTTTTCTAGTTATGTTTGGTGGGAGGTCACTACCAGGATGCTCTCTACATGGCCTACTCTCTCCTGGCTCCCTCTACTCTAGTGGGCTAGCTTGCATCTTCGATGAAAAGGTGACTTCAGCCACCTTCTTTCCCGGTTGGTCCTTTCAGCCACAGTTTATTTCCTATGGTTGGAACGGAATAATTGCGTGTTTCGTCAGCATTGTAGCTCTCGCAGAGATATTGTCTTAGCTATTTGTGATCTAGTTTGGGCCAAGATTTTGGGTCTAGCACCTAAGTACAAGATCTCGACTCAGCTCCATGCGATATGGCATCTTCCTGATTAGCTTTGTAAGCAGCCTGCATGCTCTTTGTGCCAGTTTGTGGCATTGTGTTTGTGGTGAGCCTGCGTGCTCTTTTATGCCGGTTTGTGGCTTTGTTTTTTATGGCATCTTCTTGCTTTGTGGGGAGCCTACGTGCTCTTTTTATGCTGTTCGTGACTTTGTGGGTTTTCCCATGTGTTTTTTTACTGAGAGTTATCAGTCATCCTCATGGGGTATGCCCCTCATATTTGTACATTTTTGCTCTCTTTTATAAATACTTACCTTATCCAAAAAAAAAAGTTTAGGGTTTAGGGTTTAAGGTTTAGGGATTAGGGGTTTGGGGTTTTGGGTTTAAGGGTTTAGGGTTTATGGGTTTAGGTGAGAGTTATCAGTCATCCTCTTTAGGTGACGATGCAGTCGGAGGGGCGTCGGCAAGCGAGGAGCAATAGCTACACTGTTTCCCCTGTTTTGTCTTTTAAAATGGCATTTTTGTAAATGACGTTCTTTGTGTACAAAAGACGTATGACTAATAATAAAAAAAAAAAAGGAAAAGTTTTGGGCCCATTTTCTATTGTTATTATGCATGCATTGTACTAGTTTACAGTAGTTGTTACAAAACCCCTCACTCCCAAATAACACTGTGCCGCCCCCAACCCAAGCCAAAACATTAAACACTGCTTCCACCAGTCCCAGCAGCCACAAACTTCTGTGAATTTGGGGAAATCTTTATGGATTGGTGATTTGGAGCCCCGTTTTCTCAAAGGTGGCGATTCAAGGAGCCAAGGTTTTTCATCATAGAAACTCTTCCTTTGTTTTTCTTGAGTTTGAATCTAATGATATTGCAGGTTTGACATTGCAATCTTTTCATGGCTTAAAAATGCCGAAGTCCACGAAGCTTTTCAAGCTTAATTGGGCATTTTTTGGGGCCCGTGACCAAAAGCCAGTCCCTAAGCCAGTTGTAGAGAAGAAAAGTATGGGTAAGAGCACCTTAGGAGTGTCCTCCTCTTTGGCGGATAAGGTTGGAGTGACAAAGGTCGGGTCCTATTTCACCCTTGAAGCTGTGGACCTTGATGTTAAGGATGGCATCTTACTTATACCGGATGATGTTATTGATGACAATGATGTTGATGGCTTTATTGCATTGTGGGTTATTTCCCGAGGAACTCTATGCCTTTTCATGCTGTCCGCTCAATTGCTATCCATGCATGGGAAGCTGCGGGGTTGGAAGATGTTATTGTTAGTGTATATTAGTGTATGCCCTAGAAACCATTTGTGTTGTCGATTTCAGAGCATTTTGTCCTGTATCTATATATCATAAATAATAGAAGAAAAAGTTCTTCAATTCATATATATAAATTGCTTCCTTTATTTAGTCATGCATTTAAAATAAAGTACATATATGAATTGCCCAGATGATTCATTTAATCGGTAAATGAATTATCGAAAAAGGTTCCCTATGGAAGCAATATAATTTGGGCAACTGTATTGCACAGTAGGCATATCGGATACTTCTGAAAGATATCATGAGTTGATATAAGTACGGATGACGATGATAGTCATGTCACTGGGCATTGGTATGGATTAGCAGTTGGTGAACTGTTTTTCAAACGTGACTGAATAACGACAAATCACTTGGAAAAGCATGTAGTCAATGATTTATCGTTTGGTCATATCAGTGCACGATGTAGTCCTTTGACCTGAGACATTGTAGCTGGATCTGATACGGATGTGTATGGTTCATATGGTGTATAAGTACGAGACTAATCATGTTTTGTATAATAAAGCCTATTTGGTTATGTGTTGTTCATATGCGGAAACGAACGATGGTCAAGAGGGGATCCATTGACTCGAAAATATAGGATCGGGAGTACCACTGACTCCATCCAGATTCAAGTTCCTAGATGAACGTCGATAAATGTCAGAAATCAGAATCTCTGGCCAGAGTCCATTATTAGTCATACAAAAGCAAGTTTGTGATGATGAGTTCCAGACATATTGATCGACGATTCGGTAGAAGATCGAGTTTAGGATTTTGACATTCCATGAATCCATGCTCGTTCAA